AGTCCTCGTCTGGACCTGAAATCGTGAAATATTATTCCTGTCACTTCCTGTGCTGTGACTAAAGTAACAACACTACGCTAGAAAGCATTTAACCTCTGCCAAAGCTGTAAAATTTTATTTCTGTATTTCATATGTATCTGGATCCAGAACTGCATCCAAATAATGACAGTTACTGTGTCACTGTGAGTCTGTATTAGGGATCCATCCCAGGAAGTGTGCAGCACTGAAAGAGAGTCACATGAGACCACTAAGTTATGGCCATTTTGAGGTATCGTGTTCTGTAGCAGCCCAGTCGCCAGAAGAAAACATTGGCATTGTACGTTTCTGCAAACCACGGATACGTTACATTTCTACATTTTATTTGTATCATATAAATATTTCTGAAGCGACGTAGTATATGAGCTGACTTTGTCATCTTAAGATGGAGGGGATGGTGGTTAGTGTAACACCTTGGCGAGATGCCTGCCAAGCTGCAGACCACTGTTCAAGATCAACAAACGATAAAACTTTTTGTCATTGCTGTCTTTCTTGTGGCTTTTCAGCCCCTAAACATGGGTGTTTTGTATCGACTTGGTAAATAGTGTCACGATAAAGGGTTGTTTTTTTACCAAGACATCGCTGCTTCACTAGTGGGGATTGTGCAGCCAAAACCAGGTACTTTCAGCCAAAACATAATTTTTTTCCTCACTGTAACCAAGTGATTTTTGTGCCGAAACCTAACCACACAGTAAACGCAGCCTCATCCAAACATACTGTATACATACGGACCTGTTGCTGATGTTCCTGCAGCTTTCAGCCCCCAGACTGGGTGTCTTTACTACCCCCTCGCTGTTTTTAAAAGCGGGGATTGTGCCACAAAAAACAGTTGTTTTTAGTGTCCGGTTGCTGTTGTTTTTTACCTCTTGGTTAGTGCCATGAAAAGTGGCTGATTTTTATCGAGATATCACTGCTTTTCTAGAGATTGTTCTCCCAGAGCTACAGATTTTAAGCCAAAACATGATCTTTTTCTAACCATAACCAAGTGATATCTGTGTCTAAACCTCACAACACATGAAGCACAGCATTTTTAAAATGTTAAGTTTTAAAATATCTGCTACATCAGTGGTTCCCAACTGGTCCAGTCACAGGGTCCAGATTTCTCCTTAATCATTAGTTCACGGTCCACACAGTTAAATATATTTAGCGTCATACTTGCGTTTGGCCATTTCTCAAGCTAGTTTGCTGTCTCAGTCAAGTAGCTGTTTGGTATTCACTATTGCAGGAATCAGCACTTCAGAATAAAAGCTCTGTGCTGGAAATTCACTGTACTTAAAAATAAAATGTGATTTTTACAAAGTTGATACCTGTGGTCCATTCAGAATGGACACACGACCCACCAGTTGGGAACCACTACGCTACATAATAACGTACAAACGTGACATGGTTTGCAGAAATGTACCATTGCCAATATTTTTGTTTTTTGGTAACTGGGTTGGCTGTAGTACCAGCTTTAGGCAAAATTCAATTAATTACACTGGGCTCAATCAGAGTTGATGCAATGTGTGCAGATATCATTTAAATGTTTAGATAAACATTAAAAAGACATTTTTTAAAAATGTATGAAATTTAGAGAAGGCTGGCAAAAATGTGTCACCTGAGTGGTTGGAAATCTCTGCAGGTATGTAGGGAAGAAGTGTGGCCTACTGTATATGGATTGATTGACAAATCTGGAATAAGATATCAGTAAAAAAACAAGAATAAAAAATAGCCACATGGTGATGTAACCTGCACCAAAAAGTTCTTCCTTTGCCCATCGTTCAATTTTCGGAGTAGTCATATAATCAGAGGATTAAATGTTTCATCTTCGAGGACAGCTAGTGATCATCCATCACTGTGTCTGTGAAGAAGATCTTTGAACATAAAGCTGCTTCTGCGCTCTGGGCCCTGCTCATAATGGGGTCAACAGTGTTTTAACATTATGCATCTTTTCAGCAGTAAAAGAAGTCCCAGTTACACAACATTCACAATTCTGTTGTTACATGGATATGCACAGCATCTTGTTAGCTGTTACAGCGTTCTGACACAGACAGGAGAATAAGTTACTGGAAACATACTTGAGTTTATAAAAATTCTCAAAAACCAAGTAGCAACGCTGTGACATGCAGATCGATATCAAAAGCACAGGAGACTGTGAGAACATACGATACACAGTAAATATGCTCTTTTACAGGTGAAGCATACAGTTTCTTCCTTGATCATGAACTGTACAATGTGAAATGGCTGACAGCTACCAGTAGTGTTATAACTTTTAATATTCAATTACTTTAATATCTGAATGTGGAAAAGTGCAAATATTTAAATAGAAGCAGTATTTTTCTTTCCAACTAATAAAATACAGTTCAAATGATGAGCAGCCTGCTCTGACAGCAGGGGAATGCCAATAATGCACCAATGATAAAGACAACAACAATATTGCACCTCTGACAAGACAAATGTCTGTACAAACACACAAATAAAAAGCTGGCAACACCTAGTAAAAAAACAAATCTCATAAACCCTTTTTACGTAAATAAGAAAGAGCACACAATTTCATACTTTTTGGTTCAAACAGCCCTTCATTGAAGGTTTCCCTGCAAACGGACCTTAGTGCCTCCTCTCACCTGCACCATCCTCAGCAGAGAGAAGAAACAAACACAACGGAGAACCACATTATTAAATAAACGAGCCTTATTTCAAACTGCATACACCTGGTTGCCAGAATAAATGTTGGCACTGTACGCTTCTGCAAACCATGGATATGTTAGATTTGTTCATTTCATATGTAGCGGATGTGTCAAATTTATGTTGTGACAACACTGTGGTTAATGTGATTAGGCTAGGCGCAAAATCCACATTGGAAATGTTCCGACATGTTATTTAAAAATGTGCAGTTTTGCTACCACAACCCCAGTGGAAATGTTCTGACGTATTGTCAAAGAATGTGTTTTTGTTGGCACAAACATGGCTGAAAACGTCCTAACATTTTGTTAATAGATATGCAGTTTTGTTGCAACAAACACAGCTGGAAGATGTCCGGACGTATCGTTAAAAAAATCCACGGATTGGTCGCCACAAACTTATCCGAAAATGTTCTTATATATCGTCAAAAAATGCGCGGTTCTGTTGCCACAAACATGGCTGAAAATGTCCTGACATTTCTGTAATAGATACAAAGTTTTATTGCAACAAACACAGCTGGTAGATGTCCCGACATATCCTTAAAAAATACCCAGTTCTGCTGCTACAACCCCAGCAGAAATGTTCTAACATGTTGTCAAAAAATATGTGGTTTTGTTGCATTAAACATGGCTGGAAATGTCCCGACATTTTGTTAATAAATTCGCAGTTTTGTTGCAACAAACACAGCTGGAAGATGTCGCGACATATCGTTAAAAAATCCACAGTTTGGTCACCACAAAAATGTTCTTATATATCGTCAAAAAATGCCTAGTTCTGTTGCCACAAACAAGGCTGAAAATGTCCTGACATTTCTGTAATAGATGCACAGTTTTGTTGCAACGAACGGCTGGAAGATGTCCCAACATTAAAAAATACCCGGTTTTGTTGCCACAACCCCAGAGGAAATGTTCTGACATGTTGTCAAAAAATAGGCAGTTTGTTGCAATAAACACGGCTGGAAGATGTCCCGACGTATCGTTAAAAAATACCCGGTTTTGTGCCACAAACTCAACCGGAAATGTTGCCACATATTGTTAAAAAAACAGTTTTGTTGCACCAAACACAGCTGGAAATGTCCTGACATCTTGTTAAAAACACCCACTTTTGTGGCCACAAACATAGCTCTAAATGTCCCAATTGGTCACTAAGAAACAACTGCTTTTGTTGCCACAAACCGGAAATGATCTTAAATGTCATCAAAAAATTCCCAGTTTTGTTGCCACACAACTGTTCCAATTTGTAGGTTTTGTTGCAGCAAACACGACTGATGTGTCGTTAAAAATACCAGGCTTTGTCACCACAAACACGGCAGGAAGTTCTCAGATGAGTCGGCAAAAATATTGGTTGCTGTCTTTTGGTCTCGAACACGTCTGCTGCTGTTGGATGGTCATTTTAATTATGCTGACATGATACGTATGAAACATACAAATGTAATGTATCTGTGGTTTGCAGAAATGACCAATGACAACATTTACTCTGGTGCCTAGGCTGGTATAAAACATTTTAGACATCTAGACATTCAGTTATTTATTTATCCTATACAAATTACCAACTCTTTAACAGAGAAATAAAATAAAAAGATATAAAGCTTTACATTCCCACATGATAATAAAGTTGACATCCTAATGTCAACAGAATCCATGATGTTTACACACAATGTCCCTGCCTCTGAACATGACTCCATAAAAACACGGGCTTAATAACAAGATGTGAAAAGCTTTTCCTTTCAGATCCTGTGGATCCCTCTCTGTTCTCTGTGCTTTATTTTGCATCCTTCACTGCAGGACACTGAGGCCAAGATTAATGGAGGAAATGCAAAGTGCTGCACTCCCCGTTTCTAATCAGCCACACTGGGGACGGCACTGAAGTGGATGGTGGAGTGTTGTTGTTGGAAGCCTGGGCCTAATCATGACATTGAAATGCTCCCTTTCACTGCAGTTCAAGTGATCAGAGCTCTCTGCCAACCAAACACGCTTTCCTTCAGCGGGGCAACAACCCAGACCAAAGGAAAGTATCCAAATGGAGTGATAGAAACATGGATCTGAAGCAGAGCTCATGTGGAGGCTGAGATGTTCTCATAGATTTGAGTCGGCAGAGACGAAACAAACCACAGATCTGTCCCTTTTTTAAGTTCACCAACCACCTTGAATACAATGTTCATTTCAGTCATCTGCAACATTTGCATCTTACAGGACTAACTAGCGTACCGAGCTTCACAAACATACACTGCTAGCTTCAAAACCTCAGCCACGCAAACTAGTTAGGGACTGTCCAAAAATTACTTAAGCAGCAAGCCGAATTAGATCTTACATTTTTTTTTTTTTTTTTTTTTAATTGCACAACCCTTCCCTGCAGTATTAATATATTTTTGGGCCCTACCCTTGACTTCCTCAAGAATTTTAAGTGCTGTTAATGTAATTTAAAATCCATTTTATTTAAATTTTACAAACATACTTTCATGTATCTATAAAATTCATATATTTATGTGAGAATACTTTTCACAATTGCCACTAACGCATAAATTTGAAGTGAATTTTACAATCACTAACACCCTTTTGTCAAATCTGTAGCCACATTTTAAAAACTTTAAGCACAATAAGCACAAAACAACATCTGTTGTGGGCCATGCCATTAAATCAATTCATGTAGTTTTCACAGAAAATGCAGTCAATTTACATGTTTCTAAAATGCTTAAATTTCCTTTACATTCAAGTTCACCCAACAGCAAAATAATGGATCTTTCTTGTCTTATTTACAATGAGATATTTAAATGAAAACCTAAAATCCAAAATCTTAAATATAGCAATATAGCATAAAGCACATGATTTTTGTCCTTTGCATGTGGCAAAGTACATCTTTATGAGCCACTGTGCACACCAGAGGCATCAATTTTATTCCCTTTTTTATTAATTCTGCAAGGGAATACTGAAATATAAATTTGGTATGTTAGAAAATAAAAAGCACTACTCTGTTCCTCCAAAAAAGGCAAGCTAACCTTCCCTCTGCAAAAGGACAACATACATAACAGTGCCCTTTTTCTGACGGCCTTAGTAATTTGTGTACAGTCCCTTATCCTGGATAACTTCTAAAAATGCTTGCTGATGTTGTACTTTGACAGTGAGATGATTCCCGCTCTGCGTCCAAGAATATTGCATAATAATAATTTCTAATTTGTGAGGGGAATTATATCAGTCTGTGCACACTCACCATCCAACAACGTACCCTTCCAAATTTCTTTTACAATTACTTCACATCAAATCAAACAGCGCAGTTTGATAAGAAAGGAAAGAGACAGTGTTAGAGAACAAAAATCATCAGACAAACAAAAGTAGGGGTGAGGAAGCGTGAAATGACTTCTATCACAGAAATAATTACACATTACACAGTGATGAAAGTCACTTTGAAATGTTCGAGCGCGGCAAAGTCACCGTCCCTTCCGTGTGGTCACCCTTAGATAGGGAAGTTCAACAAGGCAACACAGGAAGGACCTCGACCTTTGTCTCACAGCGCCAAAGTAAAAGTTAATGGCACAGATACAAGAATCGGGCTGTGAGACAATAACACTGATGACACTTCAAGACATCTATGTACAATAATAAAACAACTGATCACTGATCAGAAACAAAAAAGCCCTGTAGTTCACCGAGGAGGCGATACAGTGTCATTTCCATGCTGAAGTCTGTGATGATTATTCTCTTCGTCAGGCTGGTTATGACTGTGACAGGTGGCCACTGACAGCCTGATGATGACACTCAACTATTCATCCATGCAGACATGTAAAAAAAAAAGAAAGAAAGAAAGAAAAAGTTTGACAGTTTTTTTTCCCACATTACAGTGTAATACCAGCTGACAAACATGGTCATGCCTTTCTCCCACAACAATAATTTGAACTGTTAATGATCCAGAAAGGCGGCAGAGTTCCTCTCATCGGTTCACTGGTGCCAGTCACAACAGTAAGAGGTTGAGTAGTTAAGATAAGTAGCATTGTAGATCAAACTTAGAGCCCAGAGAGTCAACATTAGAGAAGGAGAATGGGGGAAATTGGGGTGAGAAAAGTTCTCAGATGCCGGAAGGAAGCAAAAAACGGAAGCAAGCCTGAGCATAAAAGTCTGAAAGTCAAAGGGTAACTTTGATATATTTCAACCTGGACCTTATTTCCCCATGTTTTTGTGTCTAAGTGACTAATGGAAACAATATTTTTGAACCAGGCTGCAGTGTAACCACCAGGACCACCGGGATGTTCTCATATACATATACATCCACTGAAAGAGCTTGTTTTTGCCAAATACAGGCTCAAACTGTTATTCTAAGTGCCTAATAACATTATGGAAGGGATTCCTACAGAGTTAGACCTTTCTGAAGAGTAAGATCCTTTTTGCTAAACCAGAAACAGCCCCAAAATTGCCATCACTAAACCCAAACAGTAATTTTATCATCGTAAAACACACCTTATTCAAAGTCGACACAGACACAATAAAAACTCACAAAAGCAGGGTGAATTAAGGGTTCATTTCAACCAACCAAGAGTTTGTGATTGTTGGAACAGTGCAAGGACGACGCTGACATTTTCAGAGCTAAAAGAACAGGTTGGAGTGTTTACAGTCTCCGTCGCAATTGATTAGTTTGTGCACTGAGTCCTTGTCGAGCAAGAGTGGCGATTCTCTCTTGAACTACCAGCAGAGATGTGGAGCGTCTCTTTTGGTACCATGAACAACTTTTGACAATGGAAACTTTTCTAATGTGTAGAAAACAGAACTGACATGAACCGGACTGGTTGGTGGAAACAAGGCAAAAGAATAACAATCTGACCCTGTCAGTGGCAAAAATAAGCGGAGGCCTGGTTTTAGTGGAGGTACATTGATTGCCCAAACATACTATAAGTCCTATTAGTCACTTGGACACAAAAACATGGGAAAATAGGGTCCATGCTGAAAAATACTGAAGTTACCCATTACAAGCAATAGAGCAGATTTAAAAGTCTCTCCAGTGTTTAGAACAATGCATCTGCAGTGCGTCACTGATTTGAAGGAAATGCGTGGATGAAAGGGTGAGCACACAGTGGTTCAAGCAGAGGGATGTAAAAAGGATGGCGTTTAAGACAAAGCTCTGCTGACGGGAGTGTCGTAAGACTTAAGAGGACGGCTCGTCTTCATGCAGGTCCTCCAGCTCTCCTTCTCTGGGTCCATCCCCTGTGCTGCTCTTTCTGAGAGAGGACGAGAGACACAGAGAGAAAACCCTTAATATGAGATGTCCTAAATGATATTAAGCTTTTGCTTTATCTCTCCTGAAGCAGCAAAACCAGAGATGCTTTTTTCCCCATTTTTTGTTACATGATGAATGTTTAAGACACAATGTAACACAGCACTGAATGGCAGCAGCAGGGAGATGAGAGAACTCTCTGAGATGACAGCTGGGGAAGGGTGAGGCTGCCCTATCACTTCTCGTGATGGGGGATAAGCGAGAATCGAGGAGTCTAGGATGATGATGGGCGCAGCAGCTGGGTGATGTTGGACAGACAGCGAGCCAGACTGGATTACCTGAGTGAGGGGTGAAGTTTTAAAGTGGGCCGGAAAGGCCACGAGTCCCTGCAGCACAGTGGGAGAAAAGATGGAAAAGTCACAGATGAGAGGGTAAAGGTCACCTCAGGGGGTCAAAGGCAGGGTCGCTGGTGGAGACGACCTCCCCCCAACACACTCCACATCCTCATTCTGAAGATGCTAAGTGTAGCTTCAGTAGTGCCAAGATGAGCAGTCAATCGACCAACCAACAGTGTAATTAATAATCAGTGACAATTCTGATGAAATTTCCCACTTCATACAAATATACATTTAATATTTTGGGACTTTGACGGCTCAGACAAAATAAGCTAAAAAATAAAAAATAAGATTTTTTTTAGACCAGTTTTACGAATCAAGTTCAGTTTACTCAGCACAGGTAGTATGACTCAGTAGAGGCCCTAAATGATGGACCTGGGAAATTCATTCCAAAATCTGACTGGACCTGATAATTTCAGAGTTTGCGTGAGACGCTACAGGCATGATGTGATTTTTCCTAAGTACGACATGCTCCTAGATCAACATCCCACATCACATTCCTGGACCAACATTACAGTCAACCAATCACAGCCCTCTGACATCATCAGTGTGCTGTTCCTGTGCGTCTTTTAAAATTCCTTTGTGCTCCAGAGATAAGTCAGTTTTCCAAAATTAAGTTAGTAAAATAGAACAAAATCTTTTGCATCATTAAACAAGGACCTTATAAGCTATTGTGGGGTTAATGAGTTAGCTTGCTAAGTACATTGGCTATGCTAACAAGCTTGCCAATAGGCTAGTTCACTTGTGTGGATATTATTTTTTTCAAGATTGCAGTGCTTGTGTTGATCCAGGACCACACTGTCAAATAAAAATAGTTTTAAATAGGCAGTGAAAAGGGAGGGAAAATGTGTCCAGGTCTTTACAACTGAGGAATGACATTATCCTTACTCTTAATGTTTGTGAAAAATATTTTAGCCTACTGACAAACTTACTCCTTAGCACAGCCTCCCTAGTTATCAAGCTAACTTGCAATTCTAGTATATTGGCAAGCTTCCTCGTTAGCATAGCCTCCCTAGTTATTAAGCTAACTTGCTAATATTCTAGTCTATTGGCAAGCTTCCTCGTTAGCATAGCCTACCTAGTTATCAAGCTAACTTGCTATTCTAGTCTATTGGCAAGCTTCCTCGTTAGCATAGCCTACCTAGTTATCAAGCTAACTTGCTAATATTCTAGTCTATTGGCAAGTTACTCGTTAGCATAGCCAACCTACTTAGCAAGCTAGCTCACTAACCCTGCAGTAGCTTATAAGGTTTTCGTTTAATGTTACTGAGAAATATGTTAAATTTTACGAACTTCTTTTAGGAATATTAGCTTAGCTCTGAAAAAGCAAGAAGGAATTTTGAGAGAAGCACAGGAGCAGCACGCTGATGATGTCAGAGGGCTGTGATTGTAGTGTTGGAATGCGATGTGGGATGTTGATCCAGGAGCATGTCCTACTTGAAAAAACAAAACACGACGTGCGATACTACAGTCCCAACTCAGTGCACGTTTATAGATATAAGTATATAAAAATATTTTATAAGCGTCTGCATGTACCAGCATGGCCTTGATGAACATGTTTTGTCATAATTTGTCCTTTCTTTTCTAAGATTTGGTGCAAAGTTTCTTATCTTCTGCTATGAGGATGCTGTGACTAGTGTAGACGGGTCATTGTGATTTGGTAGTCAGATTTCTGCTCCTCAGAAAAGATCTCATCTAATTATTGGTATCAAGTGATTGATTTATCACACCTGGTGGGAATCTGTCTGTGTCTCTATCTGTTCTGTGAAGCACTCATGATGGTCAAGGACCAAAATGTTTGCTGCTGTTTTCACTCACTCTATCATTTTTTTGCACTTGTAGCACCTTTATGTGCACAGGTGTCTTACATAAATTGGCTATTTTTTGAACTGATCTCAGCCTGTGGACCTTTTTGTGGAGTCCGGCCCAGTTGCGCTGGCGTGCCGGTATCTCCTCTGCCATCCTTTCTTGTAAGTCTGTTGTACCAATGCACCCAAGACAAACGTTTTGGTTGTCCTTAGTAGGTGCCATTTCACAGAAGTGACTTTGTAGATCTCTTCAGTAAGACCACATCACCCATAGAAAAAAAAAGATACTTCTTGCCCCACCACCTATGGCATGACTCTACTCTTTAAGTGGAGTGTCTCTTTAGGTTCTCAGAGGCTGTCAGTGTTGCCGTTTATGCTCCTATATGAGTACATTAATGTCTCAAAATTAAAGTGGTTGAAACAGATGATAAAATGCAACATGTAAGCCATATTGTTGTTGTTGTTTTTTTTAATGGCCCTGCCATTAATCAACAGTTTTCATTCATAACGACATGAAGCTCAAGCATCAGAAACTCTGACGTGATGTACAGACTAAACATTTCAGTTCAGGGCTTTGTGCTACTTTAAGTTTTACATGTACAAAGCCCTGTTTTTCCCTCATTATCCAGCAGGGGGCAGTGTTGATTCAAACTCCCTGCACATCTAAAGACACCTTCACCTTAGATGGAAGCTCTCTGCCTGCCTGGAGTAACAGGGGAAACCTCAGCCTGGATAGAAGAGAAATTGTCTAATAAAACTCTCACAATAGGAGATCAGAGTCTCCTCCACATTCAGCTCAACAGTGGCCCATCTTCATGACAAACTGCTGCACAGATAACACAGATTACTGTCCCAAGGGCACCCGCAGTACAGCAGGGAGCAGCTAGAGATGCTCTGATTTGCCCATGGCTACACTGTATATGTTGGAGTTGCACGATGCCATATGACAATTGGCCATTTCCCCTGTGATGCGTTCAATTCATGTAAGAGAAAATCCAAGGTCAGCCTGAGGCGCTGGTAGATCTGTAGCATTCTCTGTCACTCTAAATCCCTCTACCCTTGAAAGCTGAAAGCAACACACAAAAAACACTTATAAAAGCTGTAAGCTCCACGGCACACAATGAAATAATGAATTATGGTGCTATGGCAACCCAAAGCAGCAGCTGCTGCTGCAGGAGTGAATGCTAGTTAACCTGATACAGCAGACAAGAGACAGGTATGAAGTACAGACCTATGTCAGAGTCTCAAGCAAGCTTTGTTTTTATCCTCCTGGAAGAGATATGCAGGTTCATTGCAACTGGGTTGTATGAGGTATTTATCCATAGTCAGTGTATTACCTACAGTAGATGGCGGTCAACACACCCCAGTTTGAAGAAGCAAGTAAGCAGTGTACTGCTGTGGACAGGGGCAGCAGCAAAACTTACATTAGCCACCTACAAAATCAATATCAGTTTAAGTGTACATTATTTTTAGAATATATCTATCACTCAAAGTAACCAGGCTCCTCTGACAAAAACAATACATTGCAGAACACAAGTGCTTCTGGTCTACTGCTGCCTCAGTCAGTTAGAGTATGTTATTGTGTTAGGTACGATTGTGTTAGGTACGATTGATTCATACTGTGCCTGAGTATGATTACCCCTCCTCTCCACTCCCGTGCCACTCAGCTTTCACATTATTAATGTTGCTCTGTACCCGAGTCCACTTGCGTCATCATCTCTGTGACAGTTTTGTTGTACTAAAGTGTAGAAAAGAAAGTGGCAGAAGAACACTGCTGCCCTAAGGACCATCATCAGTGGGGACTGGCAGAGCAGCGAGGCGAAGCTCTGCTCCTGGCCGGAGGATGAGCTGCTAATGTCAGGCGTGGTGCTTTCTGCCTCCCGCCAGTGCTCTGACTGAAGGTCAAAGGAGGCAGCAAAGCCTGATCTGATCTGGTCTGTCTGGTCTAATACAGAGGCATCAGTATTAATCAGTTAAACACTCCCTGTAGCGGCATTAAATAGCAGCCCACTTCTATGTATTGGTATAGTTGGTGTGCACACCTGATGTGTACTATACCCGAGTACTCATGAGCTGTACTTGAGACCACCTTTTCAAGTGGATTCAGGCAAGGATCAGTGTACCATGCCCTGGGAATGGTACACAGTGTTCACACTAATCAAATTAACAGGACTTTGGGAGTCAAATGTACTCCAGACTTGGTCCCTGATATGAAAGCCCACTTAAAGGGTTAGTTCAGATTCATCAAAGTCACACAATAACACAAACAGACTAACTGATAGAGCCAGCAGTGGACCAGCAGCTTCAAAATTAATGTTTTCTTCAAAGGTGTCTGGTGGCTTTGAAAAGAACACAGATAACAGATTAATTTGCTCATTGTAAAGGGCTGTCTGATGCCGTCCACAGCAGTATATTGTTTAGCCTCTGTGATGGTACTCCTGTATGGTTCTCCAAACTGGGGTTGCATGCCGACTGCCATCTACTGTAGGTAATACACTGACTATCTGTCAGTACCTCAGACAACCGCACTTAAGAAAATCCAAACTATTCCTCTAAGTGTTCTAGGATGACTGAGGCCACCGACAGTGTGTTCTTACATGAGCAGGCTACCAGGTGCCGACATGGACCTCTCCTCTCTCCTGCTCGGACACTCAAAGGGGTTACTGAAGGAGCGCTTCCTCAGCATGGCTCTTACCAAAATCTGAAACATTCACAAACACAGGAAGGTTACAAACATGTGCAGAAGGGTTCTTGTTTTGAACCTGTGGTTCTGCATGAGCGACAGAATAACAGTTCTTATAGGGAGATCCAAACTGTGTGAATCTTGCATGTCATGATCTGGTCAGAGCCTTGGTTTTTTTTAAAATGTTGGTGAAACCAGTGAAGAAGAAACACCTGTTTTAAAGTTAAACAGCTCATCCTCTTACTGCGTATTTTTAGTACAAAAGTCGATCAGGCTCTATGATCAATGCTTTGTTGATAAGTTTGACATGCAATTAGAGTTTCAGTGTGGGACTTACTGAAAGCTGATAAACGTAGCAGACTGATGGTTTTAGATGATACATGTTGTCTTTTTTTCATGATCCCCTACAGCCTAGAGATAACACTTATTAAATGATGTATTGATATACTTTGTTATGGTGTTTTTGTCTACCAAATCTAACACAATAATATATCTAATGTCTGGTATATTTTGATGGTAAACAACGAGGAAGCAGGGAGATCATAGGTGCTAACGTTAATATCCAGAATGTGGGGAATTCTGCGCTTAACCTGTGCTGTCCAGTTACAGCGCAGAACCCACTCAGTTCTTTTCTTACTGCCTGCTATGCTAGTCTCAGCTAGCGTTATCATTGCTGCTAGCTGCTGTTTCTCGGGACTCCCTAAAAACACAGGATTTTAGCCAGGGGTAGTGCCTTCCATCCTGCATCTCACATGGTGTTGTGCATGTCGATTTTCATTGAATCGTCTCGTCACTTTTTGGATAAGCTAGCAAAACCGTAAGACAAAAAGAAGTTTATTAACCTAATCTTTGCCATAACCCCAAGATTCAAGATGAAACCAGGGTTTTCCCTGGGTTTTTTCAAGACCAAGGTGGCAAAGCGTGCATGATGCGCATCTACGTTGAAAGTAATGGGTTTGTGCGTGCAAAAGATGCTACATCTGAATGCCCCCCCATGCGCACACACACACACACACACACACACACACACACACACTTTAACCAAGGCAGCGGCCAAAATCACCCAGGCGGCCCGCCTTTGTCTTAGATAGGCAGGGAAAACCCTGGAAACCTACAGGAGACATCTGTTTTTTGCTCCTTGTACTGCTGGCATGGCTGCAACTGAGACAAGACTGCCCTGCAGATTTTCTGTAACTTTTACCTGACAGCTGATAAATTGTGAAATTGACCATCATGATGTTGTACTGATAAATGCGTACAACCAGTGCTAAAATATACCGACACGGACTAAATATGCCCAACAACAAAAATCTACTCAAATGAGGTGCTGTTTTCTTTATTTCAAACATGTCCATATATAAGCTATCATTGTGATCAATAGTTTGCAGATGCTAAACATGTCAATACTGTGCTATAGATGCAAGAATCAATGGCATTAATTATTTCAAATGTGCCCTTTATGAGACACTGCTACACTGTGCATGCCTATGCCTCTCTGTGAGCTTGTTTCCAACTGAATGCAACATTAGAGCATTTATGGAGCCAGATGGTGTAGAATCTGGTTTCCAACCCTTTAAAGAAGTTGTGTTTTTTCCTGCAGTGGGTGTTTTAGGATATGTGAAGCATTTTAACCTTGCAGTTCTTTACAAATGAGTTTTAATGGGGGTCAACCAAAAGAAAAGCTTTAAAAGTACAGGAATATTATTCAAACTGGGGCATCAACATTTTTATTTCAGAGCTGAATAATGTTAAGAGGCAGCCTTTTCCTTGTAAACAAGGCTGTCATCTGAAATCACTATGTTTCTGTGTTTTCTCACAATTGTGGTTAACAGAGGACTGCGGTTGTTTGGGAGCAGCTACTCTTAGGGCTTCACCTCTCCAGGAAATGATGAGTGTAAATGTCTCAGTTTGACACAAAAGTGCTCGGTGAATGGAGGACACTCGGGGCTCCTTACCACTGCAGAGAGGCTGGGAACGAACTTGACTGAGTTCTGGATGTCCTCCTCTGTCACCTCCACCACAGAGCAGTGCTCTTCCTCCAGAGGCAAGGGGTCAGTGCCTCCCTGGGTCACCCACTGGTCCATCTAAACACATACGACATATAACGACATGTCAATAATATACTCTGTCAATGATCCAATGAAGCATGTGACTAGATCTTGCCAGGAAGTCTGGCTCTATATATTCATCTGTGTTTTTCGTGTTTGAAAGGGTAACTGCAGTTTTTATTGATGATTAAGCCCTGCACAGCATGCATATTTCACATTATTATTTTTTTCTAAAGCAGGGCATACTGTATAGATTTATACATGAGCAATTTCTGCCAGCCAGCCATCTGTTATGATTAATGCTGCAATGCTATAAAAACCCAACTGCAAAAAGTTGTTCGAGACAGATAATCTCTCAGAGTGACCAAGTAGCCTTTAGAATTTATTTTTGTCCAACTTTAACTTCCAAAAAAGGCTCAGTAATTTCCAGTTTTCAGCTGGAAAAGTTACTCAAACACGAGTAAAAAGTGCATTTTTTGAAAACTATTTCCCAGCCTGACCAGCTAAGTCAAAGAGCCTCACCAAAGATCAGGGGTTCAAAAAACAGAAAAGCCAAGGTACAGAGAGAACAAGAAAATAAAAGGAATAGAGAGGCAACAGACAAATGCTGACCAAAACTGTGAAAAAGAACCAGGTATGACATGAAGCTGAATGTGGCAATGGTGAGAAGCTAGGCAGCCTAACAAATAACACCCACTGTAGCCAGCTCAGTTGTAAAACTAGTAAAGATGCTGGTATCATATGAAACTAGACAACCCAAGGCATCAACTGTTACCAGCCATATTATGCTAGATTGTCTGGAAGGGGCTAAATAATGCTTTGAAGTTCTGAAGCATAATGGGGTCCCTTAAAAGTCTTGGAATTACATAAATTGGGTATGACTGTAAAACTAAGACTCTCCCATCACTTCAGTTTTATTATTGTGTGATAACGTGAGTACCCATAGTGGATATCTCATTGTAGTGAGGCCATTTTTTTAAAAACTTGAAACATCCTCATTGTCGAGATGCTGTAGGTGTGAATGAGGGGCCCACTTTGGGAAAAGTAGTCCCCCTGTCCAAAACTCCTAATGGTAGGCCTGCCTAACTTAAGCAACATGATTGTTTGCAAGTTTATTTTTGTACCATAAACAGTGAACAGTACTATTTTCAAGGTGCATTCCCGTCCATACACTCTATATGCGCTTTACTTCTCACATCTACAACGTCACACCCACACGGCCACAGTCTTAAAGTGAAGGGCTGGCCAGTAACAACTGTGAATATGACAAGAAATGGTGTGAGACCAGGTTTGGCAACAGGTCAGTAGCCTACGTGCTCCGTTCTATTAAAACAGCGCGTCGATTAAATGGCCCGTTCAGTTGGTATTCAGATAACTGGGGCTTTACTTGTATAATGCAATAGCACCCATGTACACATTTACACGAAAAAAATTACCCACTCTAAACGTTTAGAGATTTTTGTACACAAACTCACCCCTAGCCTCCACCCCAGCTCCTCCTTTTCATGCTGTGTTTGACTTATCAATGTCATTTCTATTTGTCTTTGATGCTGCTCTGTTCCATGCCGGAGGGTCTTTGCTCTCCTCCTGCCTTAGGCTTTTCATGTAAGCACGTGGAAGGGCAGGGAGGTTTGCTCTCTCTGCCTCAGGCTTTCCTCGTTTGCACATGGAAGGGTGAAGTGGTGTGCTCTCTCTACCTTGGGCTTTCTGCGTAGGCCTAGGAAAGGCAGAGAGGCCCCAGAAAGGAGCCATACTGCCAAATATAATACTGCAAATGGAAATAAAGTTTTCTTTGAGAAAAGCGGCCCTAACTGAACTTGAATTTTAAAATCCAAAGAAGCCTATGTAACAGGCCTTAAAAATTGAACAGTAATAATGTAAGTAAACAAACAGCTTAGCACAGGGGCTGAAATATGTTTCTGCTTTAAACCCAATCGCATTCATTTCAATTGTTACATTACAATTTCTCAATGAATTTTTGCTATCTCTACTGACATCAATAAGCTGCATTTTGCAACTTTTGTCAAGTAAACTTTGTGTTTATGTGTTTGCACACATGGTAATACATGATGGCTTATTGTGTCTTCATCCACAAACACAGAGTCTCTAGCGACAAAATGACTCACTGACACATGATTAGATTGTGCCATGGAAATACAGCTGGGAATGGGGAATGACTTCTGTCCATGGCTGGTCTTGAACCTCCCCCTGTATTAGTGACTATGTTTTCATGCAGCCCTCCACAGGGACTAACAGGTTTCATCATGCCCCGGAGCTACACAGCATGTTGTGTTTGAACATGAAATCCTCATTATAATTACGCTCAAGGTAGCTGTCCCTCATCCTGAACAACAACTGACTAACGCCATGGTCTTATCTGCTTTATTCTCTCTGTTACCTTGATCTCAGGGAGGGTGATCCTGGTGTCTGGGTTCTTGTCCAGCATCCGCAAGATCAGAGTCCGCAGCTCTTCACTGATCTTTGGTCTGCACAAAACACAGAATAATGATCTGAGAACATTTTTGGACATTTGGAAATGATAAAAACATTAACACCAAGGATATAAATAGGCTTTATTTATACCAGATCAAAATCTGATTTCCTTCAACATTGTTTCCCAACCTTGTGATCACTTAAAAGAAGCTATATCTCCTTGCACCTCTTTAACTCAGTGTCTTATATGAGTTGTTAGCAAATTCACACCACCATCACACCCCTCCTGTCAGACAGAAAGTACACAGAAGTTCTTTATTTCTCACCTGCGTCTTGTGAATGCTTTTCATTAACTATCACTCAGTTTACAGGTGAGTTAATGCTTAACTGAGCATTGGAGTGAATAGCGAGATGAAGGAGATGACCCACAGATAATGTTCTTGTTACACACACTAACTCCTGAAACTTGAGGTAGCTGCTGATGGAGAAAATTGGCTTTTCAAGTAAGATAACTGAAAACAATTTACGGCAGAGATTCTCAACCAGGGCTGCTTATACCCCAGGGGGTACTTCTGCAATTGCTTGGCATATGTGGGAAGATTGTGGAGTACCTTAACTAATTTAAAACAAACAAACAAACAAACAAAGCCAGAACACAGAAATCACAATTTAAACATGTCCTTATATCAAGTCAACTGTAACACTTTATGCTACGTAAAAAAAACTGCAGCAGCTTTCAGTAGTATCAAGCAAGCAGGCCGATAAGTTAGCTAAACGTAATGGATGAACAGTTAAAATAGTTAGCTAAAGATAAATGGTTATATAGTTTAACTATTTCAACCAATTACATTATCGATACATTGTTTTGCTAACTGTTGCTAAAAGGATAAAGCAATGAATGAAGTAATGGAAAAACAGTTGAAATAGTTAGTTAGAAATAATGGATAAACAATTATAAAAGCTAGAAGTAATGGATAAAAAGTTAAAACAGCTAGAAGTAATAGATGAACAATTAAAATAGCTAAAAGTAATGAATAGAGTTAAAACAGTTAGCTAAGAGTAATGGATAGTTAAACTAGAAATGAGATGAAAAGAAATGAATGAAGAGCTGAAATAGCTAATAGTAATGAATAAACAGCTAGCTAAAAATAATGAATGTTAAACTAGTTAGCTAAAAGTAATAGATAAACAATTAAAATAGCTAAAAGTAATGGAAAAAGAGTTAGCTAAAAGTATTGGAAAGTTAAAATAGCTATTAATAAGTAATACAGAAAGATTTACAAGAAAGACAAGAAATGACTAAAGAGTTAAAATAGTTAAAAGTAGGCTAATGGATAAACAGCTAGCTAAAAGTAATGACTGTTAAACCGTTTAGTTAAAAGTAAAAAAAAAAAAAAACTTAAAGTAATGAACAAAAGTTAAAACAGTTAGCCAAAATTAGGGATAGTTGAAATAGTTAGTGTATAGTAATGCATAAAGAGTTTTTTTTTTAAAAAAGCTAAAAGTAATGGATAAACAGCTAGCTAAGCGTAATTATGGTTAAATAGTTAGCTAAAAGTAACAGATAAACAATTAAAACAGCTAAAAGTAATAAACAAAGAGTTAAACCAGTTAGCTAATAGTAATGGATAGTTAAAATAGTTAGATAAAAATAACAATAAAGAGTTAAAATAGCTAAAAGTAATAGATAACCAGCTAGCTTAAAGTAATGAATGTTAAAATAGTTAGCTAAAAGGAATGGATAAACAATCAAAATAGCTTGAAGTTGAGGATAAAGAGTTAACAGTTAGCTTAAAATAATGGATAGTTAAAACAGTTAGCTAAAAGAAATGGATAAAGAGTTAAAATAGTGGAAGTAATAATTAAACAGTAGCTAAAAGTAATGAATAAAGAGTTAAAGTAGTTCACTAAAAGTAATGAATAAAGAGTTTAAGTAGCTATAGGAAATGGATGAACAGTAGCTAAAAGTATTGAATAAAGAATTAAAATAGTTAGCTAGAAGTAATGAATAAACAGTTACATAGTTAGCTGAAAGTGATAAACTAAGCCTTTATTGATCCACAGGCAAAAACATGCAGGTGTTGCAGCAGCACAAAGACAGAAAAAAGTAACATCACAGATATTAGATAAAAGAAAAAGAAAATAATAAGAGGTAGCCTATTACAACAAGAATAATGGAGAGGCAGTAGAAATAGCTAAAAGTAAAGGATAAATGGTTAAAATTGCCAAAATGAATGGCCAAATTAAAAAAGAGCTAAAAATAATGGATACCAGTAAATGGTTAAAATAAATGGTGGTGTAAATGGGTTTTTAAGATCTGATAGGGCTGTGGGGGTATGTCTGACACCGCTGGTTTATAATAGGCCATTTTGTCCTGGTCAGGACTTAATGAGCTGCTGTAAGTGAATTCAGTGCTCTAAAATATTTGAATCAGTGAGATAAAACCTGTGATATGACTGAGTTTACCATATATGAAGATGGACTTTCGAGGTTGCATTTCACTGACACTAATAACATAAAATCAGAATGCATGACAGGAATGGAGGCCATTAGTGTCTCAGTAAAATAAGTTTATGTGAGCTCAGCCATTGATCATAATGGCAGCGACAACATTAGATGTACTTCAACTACAGTGGCCCTATCAGTGCTGACGACAAGGTGCTGCTAACTGTCATTGACTGGAAAAGTGTGGCTATGATTTTATTAGGTGATGTGATACTCTGCCTTCAGGAGGAGCAGGATGTGTAATGAACGAGCTTTCCCCATAGTCACACATTCTCTTGAGCCCAGTGGGCAGGAAGACACTTATCATTAACAATATGACAAGCCGGCCTTACACACACTCCAATTGCCACTCATAGCCTCTTTACATGTGCTGTGTTTATACTTCATCAGTGCGTTGCTTCAGTCTATCACCACTGCCAGCCTCTCCCTGGCTTCCTATCTCTTGTTCTCTCTCAGTCTTTTCAGCGTTATTCACTGAAGAAGACTTGCATGTTACAGTAAAGATAGGAGAAGCATAGTGGCTTGTATGCATCCAGGCCCCTTTTTGCTTTTTCAGTGTTTGTTTTGATCACATACAGGTGATGTTTACTGTGTGCTGGTGCTGGCTGTTGTGCCAAGCTATTCATATTTTTGTGGCGGAAATGTGCAACTAAAAAAAAAGAGGAAGGAAATGTTTTTTGCAACTGAGAGCTGGATAAGAAGATAGCAAACAGCATGCTGTGTGTTGGAGGGAGCTGGAACATTGCTGCTATCTCTTTTAATAAAGAGGAGGAGAGGGAAGGACACGGGAGATGAACTTACATTTCTGGGAAATCCACAAGCTTGGTCCTTATCTTATTGTGCAAAGCCAATATGTACTCGTCAATAAATGGGCACTGCAGGTGGAGCAGAGGAAAGACAGTGAGGAAAACAAGGAAAGTACATTGAATTACTACTCTGCCAGAGGAAATCTCGATCCTAAAAACAACTAGGACAAATGACAACAGAATCAGCTTCTAGCATTTATAAAAAAAATAAATAAAAATGATGCCACTGAATGGCTGTTGTAACAAATCATAAAAAACAGGTGATAGATAGTGTTCCTACTGAAGTGCCACTGGGTGCTGTAATTAAGCATGGGAGCCTGTGAAATGAGCATAGCCTTTACTGCTACCTTTTGTGGACCCAGAGACAGGAAATGTGCATACTTGCCTTCCCAAAGACGAAACAGTAAAGAGTGACTCCCATGGCCCACACGTCCAGCGCCTTTAAGAGAGTGTCAGTGTGACATTAAATGCGACCTCAAGGCAAAGAGACTGAAAAACATACATGCTGCAGCGATCCAAACACCTACTTACACAAACAAAGATGGTGATGTAAATCAATGCAAACTGCCTAAGATGATTTATGGGACATTTTAAGGTTATTTTTTGGGGGACATCTACCGTCAGATACCTTGGTGATGTATGTGTGTGATCAGGCAGCGGAGGCACTGCAGCAATCCATCAGGCTCTTTGTCTTCTCTCTCCCTGTATGAATAGCTCTCTCTTAGGAATCCATTTCTATCCCCTGATAGAAATGAAATGATAAAACTAGCCCTCTGAACCTGCACAATCTCTCACAATGCCACAAACATTTGTTATCAGACACTGTGCTGTATGACTAACGTGTTCTAATGGCCTGATATAACTGGCACTAACAACTGAGGGGGTTTAAGTGACATACGAGTGTCAGATATTAAATATTTCACAGCTGATTTACAACAAAATCACAAATGCTGGTGCATAATGGACACAAAGCTCTCTGGAGCATGGCTTGAACTGAAGACTAATCAGAGAAAAGGGGGGCAATAAGACTGCATACATTTCTTCCTGCACTTGAATGGCTCTTACATCCTTTTTGTCTGCAATCAAATATTCTATTCTGGCCCCTTTTTTATGGTCATGCAGATCCTTCCTTGAGCAAATCCATCAGATAACGACAGGAGGAAGCAACATGACATGTACCTATAATGTCAGGTATGAATAGAATGTCAGGGTTGAGACATGGGGCTGGAAAGGGAAGGCTCTTGGCTCTTGTGAATCAGTAGGCAGGATTGATTCATAAGTCTCAACAAGTCTCTCACCACCTGGTTCGAACGTTATCTTAAAATAGATGTCAGCTGTGTTTATCATAATTGCAGATATAGGTTAGAAGGCCCCTGCTGCATTGACAGGCCATGTTTAGAATGCCATTATCAGCTATTGAATGCCTGTGTGTTGTTATACAGCCACATTTATATGAGTTGTCTTTATCGCCACCGAGCCATCGCTGCTTTTCTGACAGGGATTGTGCCACAGAAGTGGATGTGTTTGAAAGAGCCACTGCTGCTTTTCCAGCAGGGACTGTGCCACCAAAAGCGGGTGTTTTTTACTGAGCCATTGCTGCATTATCAGCTGGAATTGTGCCATTAAACGTTTTTTTTTTTTTTTTTTTCACTCAGCCATCCCTGCATTTCCAGCAGAGATTGTGCCACCTAAAGGGGGTATTTTTTATAGAGCTATCGCTGCAGTTTCAGCTGGAATTAGGCCATTAAAGGGATGTTTTTTACTAAGCCATCACTTTTCCAGTGAGGACTTTGCCACAAAAGCTTTGCTGAGCAATTGCTGCTTTTCGAATCAGGATTGTGCCACCAGAGGAGGGTGCTTTTTACCCAGCCATGGCTGCTTTTCCAGTGGGGACTGTGCCACCAAAAGCATATGTTTTTTTAGTGAGCCATGGGTGCTTTTCCAGTGGGGACTGTACCACTAGGGCTGTCGAATATTCCTTCTAAAAACAACTCATAGGTTTGAACCATTCAAATTTTTTTTCTTTTGTCGCATTATGTCCACAAGAGGGCAAACTAATACAAGGAAACATACTTGTACATTTATTAATACAAGGAAACATAACTACTTGTAGGTATTATTATTTCAACGCTGCGAATAGCCTCGAAGCGCTGGACCGTGACCGGCTCGCGCCCTGCAGCGATCGTTTCGGCGTCTGGTCTATTTTCTGCGCGCCGCGAGCAAATGTGTCAAGCTGGGTGACGGAGACAACAGCTGGGAGCAGAACCGCTTGTCGACCAGCGTGGAGAAATGTGCGTCTGATGCCAACGCCCACTCACAAAGAGGACAGCTGCGGTGGTGTTTTTTCCCTCCACAATCGAATATCAATTTTCACATTCGAAGGTCCATTTTTTTTCAAATTCGAATTTAAATTCGAATTTAGAATATTCATTGACAGCCCTATGTACTGCCAAAAGTGGGTGTTCTTTACTGAACCATCACTACTTACTAAGTGGAAATTGTGCTATAAAAAGCGAGTGGTTTTTTTTCTTTTTCTTTTTATCAAGAAATCGTTGCGTTTCTTGTGGATTTGTGCTATAAAATGTGCTTTTTTTTTTTTTTTTTTTTTTTTTTTACCAGTCATCGTTTCTCTCCAGTGTGTTTTTACTATTTTTTCCAGCTAGGACTTTGCCACCTAAATCAGGTGTTTTTATTGAGCCATCACTACTTTGCAGCAGGGACTGTGCCACCAAAAGCGGCTGTGTTTTTTTACTGAGCCATTGCTGCTTTTCAAATCGGGATTGTGCCACCAGAGGCGGGTGCTTTTTACATTTATCCTTTCCTAAACATAATCAAATGGTTTTTGTTCCTTAACATAACCACACATTTACCACAGCACTGTTTAAATGTAAAGAAATGTTGAATTTCACTAATGGATGTTTAATAGTGGTAACAGCACTCTGACCATACTAGTTGGCGTAGCAGGGGCCTTCTAACCATAACCATATCACTGATAATCACAACAAGTGCCTGCTTACTAGGGTGATTACATTTGAAATAGGTGCTCATCCTGTAAGAATTATGATGGAACTACTCAGTCAATCATTTCCTTAATTTATGATAAAAAATAAAGCTCTGTGATTGATTGTTTTGCCAATAATGTGGATTTAATGTAAAATAAGGTTGTAATCAATCCCAGACGGGTTATCCTAGATCAATATCAGCTATGTAAAACCAATAGCCTCATTCCATTTCTTGACTCTGGTAACAGTGCTGTTCTCCGCTGCATTACTTCTACCTTGTTATTAACACGAACTAACACACAAGGGAACAGACTGACACTGACAATTTGCTCCTTGGATTAGCAGGCCGGCAAAGGTCTGAAAGCTCATCTCGATTTAATGGTTCTCATTTTCAAATCATGAGGTATAGGCTTAGACCGGCGCCTGCAGCCGCTGTAACCGCAGGAGCTCAAACTCAGCAGCGCTCACTGACTGATTGTAGAGTTAACTCACTTTTCCACTGAAGCTCTTTCGTGCGTCTGAAAGGGTCTCTGGTGCCATGAATGCAGGAGTGCCAGCAGTGCTGGACAGCAGAGCATCATTGCCCTCAAACTGGTTGCTGACCCCAAAGTCTGCTATTTTCACATGGCCGTCATCTCCCAGCAGCAAGTTAGAAGGCTTGATGTCTCGGTGGACGATCTTCTGGTAGTGCACTAAAGATAGAAGAGAGTAAAGGGTTACATTTTTAGAACTACTGTACCCTGTGAGATCCAGATGACAACATCGAGATGATTTTGTAATTTCTGAACCCTTCCCAGCAATGGGGCTAAAATAAACTGCATTTTAGAATAACAATGTGAGCCTGTCAGTGGCAAAAATAAGCACCTTTAGTGGACGTACACTGAGGGTTTCAACATGCCCTGAGTGGTTACCCGTGGCCTGTTTGGTGGCTGTCGGCTGCAGCCATCTCACACTCACTCAATACTGAACTGTCTTCAAAAATTGCTGTTTCCATTAGTCTCTTAGACACAAAAATGTGGAAAAATAGTACTCTAGCTTTTTTTCTTCTTCTCTGTGTATCCTTTCTCACCCTTATTTCCACAGATAAATCTGGCCATCGGATGTAATAATATCTCACAAAAATCAGCTTGGACCAAAAAGACTAACACACCCACTGACTGAATGCAATGCTTCTGGTGTTACCATATTTAATAAGTTCAATATTGCACTTCAGTAACATTTAGAAAGGCACACAGAAGTTTGCGTTTCAGTGAAAAATTGAAAGAAAGTCATATGCATGTGGTAAATATCAAGTTAATGGCAGTTAATAAGAATGATGTGATTACTGTGAACCCAAGTTCATTTAAGACCAAGCCAAGTACATCTTTAAGCCTTCACACTTAACAGCCATGTGGAGCTAAGCCCTGGACACTTCACTGATTGGATAAGTGGTGCCTTCTTGTCTGAGGAGGACTTAAAACATGAGGCACTTGACTTATTAAAAGACCAGGCAATTAAACATCATTAGCACTAATAATACTCAAATTCAAAACACACAAAGCCAATGACCCGAAGGATGACATCTGATATCTAGAATTAAGGCTAATTAAGGTTTCAGAAGACGTGCTTCACTTGCATTTTGACACAAATGTCATATTACAGACACTGACTAATTTTGTGGGGTTTATTATGGAGCCCTTAAGTGTTCAATGTTAAATAAATGAATGAGTAATTATGGAAAACATAGTCATATGAATGAACTGTAAAAGAAAAAGTAATTCAAGAAAGAATTGATTTTCATTTAAAATTAGAAATTCTTATTTGGCATTATTGGCACTTGATGTTAATCAGCATATTTAATGAAGTTGATGCAGCCTTCTTTCTTGATTCAAATGCACTTATTGTCACTTTGGATAAAGGCATCATCTAAATAAATCTAATGCAGTGGTTTTCAAATGGTGTGCGATGGTGCGTGTGATGCCAATCCAGGTGTGCCGTGGGGTTTTGTGATAACCAAAAACTATTATTGCAATATTCAACAACCTAATTTAAAAAACCTTCATGGGGAACCTATTTGTCTCTGTTTACATGTGGGAATTATAAGTGCGTGACACATCTAAAACCCTGATTGTCAGCCAGTGTGAGGGATGATAACTTTTAAAAGGAGAAAGCCGTGAGTAAGACGATGGATCGCTTTATTGTACGGAGCAAATTACAACAAAGCACCAGCGAGGACGACCTGTTATGTTGTGATAAGAGTGATAACACATGTTATAGAAGCTGTGCACAGATATACATACAGGTAGCTGGCTAACTAGCTGTGAGGGGCTGTGAGCTTATTGTTTGAATTACGAACAGTTAAGCTAATCACATTAAACAGTCACGCCGCTGCTCCATCTCCCCAGACAGAGTGCCCAGAGGATGCTCTGCTACTCCGTTAGTGTGGTGCTCTGAATAACGGTGCATCTAACAGTGCTCCGAATTTCCAAATGGTCCAGTTTGTACCAGAGGGCGCTCTACAACCATGGTAAGGGCGTTCTGAAATTAGAATATCTATAATGAAGAAAACACATCATATGAAACCCTGTTATCATAAAAATCAATGATGAAATAATGATTTCTTTAGTTATTTCACAAATTGCTGCTTCATTTATATATTTTACAAATTAATTAATGTGATGCCATAGTTTGTAGTCTAACAAAATTTTGGTTTGGAAATTATTCCTCACTGTCAAACTATAGCTGAGTATACTCCAATCCACATGTTGTATTTTTCAGGACGTTCCGCAATAAAAGCCTAGTAGTTGGAGATTCAAGAGGTTCATGTAGAAATGTAGCTGAGTCTCATTTGTGACCGATGACTCCGGAGGTAGATGCCCTTTTAATAGTAGTATCTTTTAAGATGTGAAAACTGTTTTTACATGTCATTTTGTTGAAAAACAAAAGTATGAATGTCATGTACTCATTGTAGCCTCATTAGCGTGGACACAGACATTCTGTACACTTTGTTCTTTTAGATAAAACAGGAAAATGCTAATTTATATTTATACGAGTAGAGTGCAATAAAAAGGTTTATCTTTATAAAGTGAACATCCAATCTATTCCTGGCCACTAAAAACGCCACAAAACTGCATGTAGCTCTTCAAGTGAGAGTGAAGCTCCAGAGAATTGATAGCTGAGGATGCATGAATTAGTTTCACTCAAACACTTCACAGATGTGTTTCATAGATTCGCTCTGTGTGAGATACTTACAGTACTCTATGCCCAGGATGACATCTCTGAAGTATAATCTCGCCTGCTCCTCTGACAGAGGGTTGTCCGAGGGCACTTCCATCACTGGACTACAGATCCACACAGGCAGGCAGAGAAGAAAGCAAACACACAGAGAGCGAGGCAGACAAATCCACAGATTATGTGCATCAGTTGTTTCATCATTAGCACAGCATTTTAATTCCAAATATGAACACATTCGAAGACAGATACACATCCATGCAAACATAAACATCCTGATCAAACATCACTGATACTGAAAATGTGTGATAAGACCATCACAGCCTTCTCTGTGTGGATCCCAAACCCAACAGCCCCCAAGACAGCTTAGTATTTGTTGAGATGAATTGACAGGACATACATAAACCACTAATCACTATTCTAAGCAGCCTCGAAAAATACAGTTAGAACTTTGTAGTGTTGTGCAATCATACATCAACAAGAATATTTATATGCTGTATACTGTATAGTTCTCTGGTTTAATTGTGCTTTAAAAGAAAATTCAATTTTTACTATGGCTCCAGTAACTGCACTTTTATTCATTTATATGAGCACAAGGGATTCTTGTTGTTTAAAGCAGAGAACAACCAATCTGAGGTGAAATCATTAAAGTAACTATGAAATGCCTTTCTAACTGTAAAGATCTACCATTTTAACAATATACCAATGTGCCAAAAAAAATCAGTCTCTTTGTATTTTTATATTAAAATCTAATCTTTCTAAGTAAGTACTAACTAATGTCTAATATCATGCCATCCACCCATCCATCAATCTGCAACTTTTGGCTGCACAGAACTAAAATTCATTAGTTAGCAACAGCATGCCATGTCAGTGTGTTTTGGGTGTTTGGCACCTCAAACTTTGCACTGCTTCCCCAAAATACCATAGTTACAGACCTGCTGGCTAGACTCACTTTGAGGAAAGAAGTATCTGTGACAGCTCCAGATTATGCGCAAGGCATTTTAAAGTGGACTGCTGCAGCAACTGCATGGAGCACAGAATCTGTCTCTTCCTCCCTAATGAATAATACTATCCCATCAATGTACACTGTCAGGGTGAGTAGTCCTCTACAATTGAAACAACACCTCCACCCAATTTTTGGAATTACTGTAAAGGCTGATCTATAGTTGTGCGGAGGCTCCACGCAGAGCCTATATGAGTAGCCGACACTGTTGTAAGCATTTATACTTGTGCAGTGGTGCGTCTACATCGCTCTGCAACTACACCTCCACAACACTGGTTGGTTGTAGGGTTGCTATGCCACTGTGTTGAGCTTCTGTGAAGTGCAGTACAGTTTGAGAATAAACAAAAGTACAAAATTCAGCTTCATTATAACTCAAAGGGTTTACTGACAAAACATTTGTCTTTTGCTAGACACGTTTTCCCCACATATGCAACATGCTAATGTTATTAGCATAAGTCTAAGTCATTTTACATTGCGTAAATTAGCCTAGTGGCTAACTGCCTTTTCTCCACTCACACGAAGCCAGGAACAGCAACAACAGAGATAACGCGTCAAAATTTGGCTCTATTATAACTCACAAGGTTCCTTAACAAAATAATTGTATTTTGCTGGAAACATTTTCCTCATCAATACAATAAGCTAACGTTATTAGCATTAGCTTATGATATTTCCTGTTGCATAAATTAGCCCAGTGGCTAGCGGACTTTCCTCTACTCATATGAAGCCCAGATAAATCTCACACAAGACCTGAGATGTTATTTTGTGGAGGCTTTATTGTCTTTACAATTTATTGTTTCTTATCTGTGAAATAAAAGTAAATAAAGCTTTGTTTCCATTGAGGGAAATGGTTTTCAGTTTACAGAAATAAACAGGTGGTGTACGTTGTTGCAACGCGTTGTTACCTTTCTTGGGAGGTGCACATCAGGCTACAGCATAGGCTACGGCGTAAGGTACAGTGTAGTCTATGGCACAGGGTAAAGCCTTAAAGCATAGGGTATGCCATAGGGTACGGTGTAGGGTACAGTATAGGCTAAAGCAGACAGCATAGGGCGAGTGTCCACGCAGAGCATAAGCTGTAGGTACGGTGTCGATTTAAACAGAGAAGTATAGACCCCGCTTGACTTTCCATGTTTGTTATGACACGCCCACTTTTCAATGATCAAATTAAAATTCCTGCCAATGTTATGTCCCGCCTGGCTCTTCTGTTTCAATCGGAAATATGTCACGATACTGAAGCTAGATACTCTCAAAATGTTGTTTCATTTGGACATTATGAACAGACTTAATAGTTGGAGCATTATCAGTAGCAGTAGAAATAGAAGCGGCAGCATTAGCAGCAGCAATTTGAACTACACCTTGTGCATAAAAGAAGCATGACTATAAAAAGACGTTTTATTTTTCCAGATTAGTAGAAGCCCTATTATTAATTAGCTCAGCTATCTGTCATCTCTCTCCCAGGGGAAACAAGAGAACAAACAATTTGTCTCATTATGAGAAGTTAACAAATAAAACAAAGGTATACATGACTTATTTATGCACATGTGTGAAATGATACCAGCTCCCCCTCCCAACTCTGTTCCCTTATAATAACAAAAGGTCTCAGATCATTAGATCATCACAATTTGTTCTGTGGTGTGTAGGAAGGAACAGCTCGTGCATCAGGACGTGAAACATTTACACGGATTACTGCCACTGGTAATGACTGTGAAAACCTAAGAACATTACGAATCTCTTTGAAGCCTAGGATGGAACAAACACCCGCACGGTGTCAGCTCGGAGTAATGAAGGAGAACACTGCAGAGACGGAGGCAGGGACAGAGGGATGGAGGGAGGAGGAGGAAGAGGTGAAGGTAGAGGAGGATGAGCCTTGAATTATTAAAATAAAGGACATGTTCTCTACTCACCCTTTACGCATCAGCTCAAACACTGTCAGAGAAAGGAAATAGGAACATGTTATTCATTCATTCATCCGCTGTGTTTGGCCACTGCTGTCACTGAGGCAACACCCCAGCAACACATTATTTTGAATATAGCACATAGAGAGTTTGACGTGTCACACTAACTGTGACCTGGCATGGCTGATGGAAGATTTCTGCATAATGTGTGAGCCCTGAGGTGGTGTGGAGGGAAGAAGATCTGAATCGTGAATAACTTATATACTTGTTGGTGGCATATGTGCCAAGTGCCAAAGGCTGACAGAGGGCAAAAATAGAGCAGACACAGAAAAAATGGTCTACATACCCATGTGAAGGTTGTCCTCCGCCGGATCATCCAGAACCTGCGACATTAACACATTATCATGAGTGGAGTCTTTCCACCTGAAAACCTCAAGGTACAGGTGAACAATATAAAAACTAACATGTGATCCCTCTTGTCGGGATCATTTAAAAAACTGACAGGAAGCATTCAGGACCAAAACCACTGCAGAACTCAGAAGTCTTTGCGAAGATTCGATTAGAAGAAAGTCCCTTTGACCTTTTTTTTGTTCTGACATGCAAGCTGTTAGATTTGCCATTAGGATATTGGTGGGAGCCTTAATTTAAAACACCAGCTTTGCAGGTTTGTGCAGATTCACAGCTCTGCAGCTGATAGCTGGCTGGAGTTACCTGTTCCTGGGCCAAGGGACAAAAGAGAGCTTATGAGCACCTTTAGCACTAATTCCTCTGACTCTCTGTACAATGTGTGGCCTGCAGTTTTTCTACTGAAGAACTCTACCTGGCTTAAATGAGACTTCAACATAAAAACCCTCCTCTGCTGCATCAATTTAGATTTTTCTTTTAAATATCCATCATGGGACCACCAATGTTATTGTAGTGCGATGCTAAATCTGTAGACTACATCCTGTCACAGTAACAGCCACCTGGCAGCTCTTGTTGAATGTCTAAATGACATTAAGGCTTGGTTGGCTCAAAACTTTTTATGTTTAAATGAGAGTAAGACAGAAGTCATAGGGTCTTATTCATGAAAAGTGAGTAAATCTGTGTGTAGATTTGCACATAAAAGCCTACTCTACTAAAAACCTACTCCGGATTCAGGAATGCCACGGGAAACTCAGATTTGATAGTAAACACGTGTGTATGATCATGAATGCCAATCCATCGTAAAGTGACAGCGCGCTCCCGGTGATCAGCAATTAGCATAAACCCCCGCCAATGAAAGGCCAATGACCACCATATAAGGAGGTGTAGGTGCATCCAATCGACCTGTCAGTCATGGCACAAAGAAAGAAAGACAGAGAAAGAAAAAAGAATTTTTCCGAAGCGGAGATCGAAATAATTTTGGGTGAAGTGGACTTAAGAAAAAACATTTTATTTTCTTCAGTTAGTAGTGGTGTGACAGGGACAGGCAAAGCGAAGGCCTGGAGGGAGGTAACAGATGCTGTTAATGTTGTCTCCATAGTACAAAGAACCATGTCAGAGGTGAAGCATAAATGGTTTGATATGAAACTGGAGGCAAAGAAACGCATAAGCACACACAAAAAAATACAGCAGTCACCAAACAAACAGAAGATTCATTTGTGGGGTTTTGAATGAAGTGGGAATGGGAAACCAGAGATGTTTTGTGCGTGATGGATCAACTCTAAATCAGTGATGGCTATCGGAATGTAGAGCTATTTAACATTTATTTTAACAAATGATACGGATAACATATAGCCTACAGCGGTTTTGTATGCATCGTCTTCAAATTATTTGAACCTCAATAGCCTGAAGCTCTGTTTTATAGAACGTAAATTAAACATTTTTCAAATCAGATTTATTCATTCAAATGATCAAAAAGCCAAAAAACAAAAAAAACAAAACCCGTGTTATCTCAAATAATTCTTTCAGCTGGCGCGTGCTCCTTCATTGCTCCACCACCTGCTGCTCCTGCTGCCCCTGCTGAACCCAGGCACCGAGGCCGAAGAGGCTGTGATCCGGCTGTCCTTACGGATATTTTTATTATCATCATTCAACATATAGAAAGAACATATAATCTATTGAGTAAATTTACATAGATAATTCACAATCATGAACCTAATCTGGATCTTAAACCTGCTAATGGCCAACTAATTTAACTAAATGTGTTATATTTTTAATATTTTGTCATGTTTAGAATGCGGGTTTCAAAGGCATCTGTGTTTTGTGTACATAACAGAGCGCAATACGAGTTAAAATTGTAATTTCCAATAGTGACAAGCAATATTTATGTGCTTTACTAAATTTACACAAGCACTATGAGTGGTCAGGAGCAGGAGTAGATTTTGTTAGTAGCTACGAAAAGATCGGAGCTACTAAAATATTGATGAATGTGGACATGCACGTAAATTTCCGTCTGCGAAGAGTTTACACACAAATTCCTTCTGTTCACGTTTCATGAATGAGACCCATAGTGTTTGGACCCAGTGGCACCAGTGTCCCCCCTCTAGACCTAGGTTCCCTGCAACCCTATGTCAAACCCATGGTCTCAAATCTTGGTGTCAAAATGGACAATGCTTTTAAATTTGACAAGCAGGTAAATGTGGTGGTTAGTTCCAGTTTTTATCATTTGAGGCTTCAAATGGACTACTGCAACACACTTTATGCTGGTTTAAACCAAGCCTCTGTTGCACGTTTGCAGTTGGTTCAGAATGCTACGGTGCGACTACTAACCGTAAACCGCAAGTATGACCATATCACTCCGATTCTGGCTTTCTCCACTGGCTACCTGTTCGCTTCAGAATTGATTTCAAAATCTTATTGTTCACTTTCAAAATCGATTCATGGTCTGGTGCTTCAGTACCTCTGTGACATTATTCATGCTAAGACTCCCCTAAGGTCACAGCGCTCCTCTGACCAGCTGCAACTTGAGGTCCCTATGACAAACTTAAAAACCAGAGGTGACTGTGCTTTTTCAGTTGCAGCACCTAAATTGTGGAACACACTTCCATCATGTCAGATTGGCCCCCACCCTCGAATCTTTTAAATCTCGTCTAAAAACCCACCTTTACACCTTGGCTTTTAATTCAAACTGAGAGTTTTGTGGTCTTTTGCCCAGTCTTTTCTGGCTGTTGACTAGATGCTTGTGTTTCTTTGTTTCTATGTTTATGTTTTTAGCTATTTTTGTGCACATATTTTGTTCTGTACAGCACTTTGGTAATCCCTGTGATTTGTAAAATGTGCTATATTCAATTCAAATAAACACAAGAAATTTGTGCTCTAGATAAAGGGTCAGCACTCAGTAAATAACCTCCTAAGCCCTATGATAAGCTATTATGGCAAGGCTTAACTATACAGACCAGTGAGCAGTGATAACCAACATGTCTTTGGGGTCATCAGGTGGGAACCTCCTTTCACCAGCGTTTCGTCTAGTTGGTCCCACGACACCTCCAGGAGGCTTCTCTGGCGTCCCAGAGACACTCCCCTAATGCCAGGTCTCACTGCTCCTCGCACCAACCCAACAACCTCCTTTACCTTACTTACACATGGCTTTCTCAGCCCAAACAGCACTGCCACCTTCAACAAACCCAAGCTCCGTTCATGCGAGCTCCAGGTAGAGACAGTGCTGATACTACCTTTCCTAGCACATTCACCATACTCTTTTTCACACAACATATCATAACTCCAATATAAGCTAAAGTTAAAGGAGATAGATACACTCACAGGATCAGCAAACACACTCACCTTGCAGCAAAGGGATTCAAGTAGTCCACTCCCACACTTAAATAACCTACTTCTCCCTGGATTTTCTCCTGAGAGGACAAATTGGTGGATCTCTCCACCTGATCTCAATGAGTTATGTACCCTGCTTAGTAGTTCCCCCTGCTGGCCCCCAACTGACATTATTTTTTCTCATCCAGATCCACTGACTAGCTCTGGCTGCTTCATCTGACGTTTCCTTCACTGTCTTCCTCAAACTCTGTCCCCGCACCCGGAGTTCCCCCAGGAGCAAGACACTCCAACTAGGTCCCTCCAACTAAGCTTCCTCTTCTCTACACTTTCCCAATTCAACCACTGTCCCTGCTTAGCCTGGGCCACTACCTTTGCACCCCTTAATATCTCCTCCTGTCTACATATCTGTTCTACAACCAGCTTTCTTTCATCTTTGAAACCTGCTTTATTCCATACCGTTTTGCCTGAGCCAAGCCCCAGGCCTCCCCGGCCAAACTGAACATTACCTACAATCTCTGCATATATATAGATATAAGGTAGGGCTGCATGACACGAGGAAAGTATGCGGTAACGCTGCTGAGTATTGAAATAACGATATTACTGAACTGGACACGAAAGGCACCAATAAAAAACAGAATGGCTGTTACATTTTAAAGTGCAGTTTACTACTGATACATTCTTTCAAATAACTAAAAATGTGTTTATCTTGCAAGTTGACATCGCAATGACGATTAAAAAAATAATATATTGTGCAGCCCTACTGCAAGGTTACTGCTCACAGCTCCCACAAACCCAGAGACACACAGTTGCTTTAAATACAACATCCCTGTGAATGTTTGCTCCGAACATCTTACACACTTAAATAAATACTGCTCTGTTTGCACCATGCTTCATTTTTCTCCCTTTGTTTTAAGTAAAAGTGCCGAAAGCTTTAAACAGTAAATGAGCTGTTGTGTGCAGAGTGCAAAGCATCACAGATGTACTAATCTTATTTGTAGCTGTTGACTAATGCAGTGTAGAGGATGCATTAAAAGGGCATCTTGATTTAAGGGGAAATCACATGAATTGAGCTCGGGCCTTTGAAGCGTCTGCTCTCAAAACAACTGCACGCCTTGGTGAGTACAGGGTCGGCCTTTTCCCAACCTTCTGTGACAAATGACCATATCACTTTCATCAGCTTAAATCTGTTCCACTTGGCGTCGGCTTTCATGTTTCAAAAGTCTATTTCTAATTAGATGGACTGGACTGCAGCCTCACAGGAATCAGTTGGAAAGTCGTAATGAATATGATCCCGACCGGAGCACAGCCCATTTAAATGGATGAACAGAGAGAGATGGAGAGGAGGAAGGCATGTTTTCCCGTTGCCCACATACGCCTGTTATGAGAGCGAGAGTGAGGGTGGACAAGGAAGGGAAGAGACAAGTGTGTGTGTGAGAGCACAGGCAGCTCTTGCTTAAAAACTCTGTATTTCTGGCACACTCTACACCTGAGCAAGCCAGACAGCTTTCCCAGCGACTGACTCCCTGAGCTTGACTCCTGACAACGACGGCAGTGCCCCCACCATCTGCCCAAGATTGAAAAACACTCTGATGATATCGCAAGGGAGCGGCGGGCATCTTGAGTCAAGTCTTCAAAATGGGCTATCATCTTTCATAAACAACCTCCTCTGCAGAAAAGTCTATCCATCTTTAGAAGTCACTAACTCGACCCAAGTTTGAGAGCGCTGGCTGTTGTGAATATAAGAATCTATTTACAGGTCGGAGGCTTTGTTTTTATGGAACATGTCGCCGAAACGTTATGAAGATTCAGTGACAGAGGTGTGATAGATGTGCTGGAGGGTAAATCTATCTCATTTTCCACACCTGTTTCCTGGCAGCGCAGGGTTTATCCACCTTTTTGGTCAGACATAAACTGATAGGACAAGAATACAAAGTGTGAGTCAGAGTACACAGAGAGGAAGGTTCTCTGAAGACGGAGTGGTAAAGGATAATCCTGACCACAATGGATTTAAACCCGCTGTGGATGTCCACTTGCTGTTATCATTGAAACATTTCCCAACAGCAAGACACCATTTATTATTTATCTCCAAATATCAACAAAACGGAAAATACATTTACGTTCTCGAAAAGAAACAGTGCCTCCTAAAGTCCTACATACAAAAGAAAACATTACTTCCTCACAAGTACAGTCACAGTATAAAGTACCAACAAAATTATTGCATTGACACGTCAAAGGTTTAAAACTGAGTTGAACTGGGCCACCTGGATTCCACAGTTCAATATTCTGTTAACACACATCAACCTTCCTATTGTGATTACATCAAATTTGACTCGTTTCAAGTTAAAATGTTTCATAAATATTAAGCCTGACCTTTGGAGATGAAGATGGTTGATTGTTGGAGCGTTCTGACTCTAAAGGCTCATTTATACTCCTTTTACATACAAAAAAAGATAAGTCCATTTCAAACGATGTGAGCGTCACTACCCCCATACTTCCATGCCTCCTTTATGATGGCATACATACAACCAAGGTCGTTATATTGTTCCTTTAAATGGAGGCAGTGTTGTAGACAGCTGTGGTCTGTGTAGCCAATAATTACATCCCGACATGTGGATGGAGAATTCATCTCACAAATTTCACTATATATTACCAATATGTTCTGCTCTACCACTATTTAAATTTCTTCCTCATCTCCCTACGGTCGTATCTGGCTTCAACTTTGCAAATACGGACAGAATGAACACAGAGTACGAACACAACGCTCCACACAGAGATGTGTCCAACATTGAGCATATAGGAGCCATATCCTGACCCTAGACCTCTTTACTAATCTTAACCTGTTTGGCGATGGCAATAATCAGCAACTATTGATTTCCTAACCCTTGAATTTCTAATAACTACTTTCCCCTTTTTTTTATTATTTTTTTTCTTTTTCCTCTCTTTTAATTGGTTCATTAATTGGTTTGCCAATTCTTCTTATTTTTAATTAAGGGTTGAAATATGTTTGGGAGTTGTCCATACAAAAAGAGTGACTATTATCAAGACTAAGACCTGTACCAGTGCAATGTTACGCCTCTCAAAGTCAGAATTACAGTCCCCTAGCCTCACTCAAACCCATGTCATACTTAAGATATACTATGCAAAATTTTCATATGAAATAATCTATAAACACATAAAGAAGTAATCATTGATCACTTTTGACCTGCCCTCAGTGTGTGGTGGTGTATTTATCTGCAGAGACTCTGCCCTCTGCCTGGATTTTATTATTTTCTTTTTATTTTCTATGTTCAGGATGGAGGGGCGCTCAGGTGAGGTTGGGGCTTTAAAAAAAGTTAGCTACCAGGTGCCAGATTGTATGCAAATAAAAAAAGGCAAAACATCAAATGAGAGTGAATCTAGGAATGGATTTTACTTTCACTTTCCATGGTGAGCGTCTTTACAAACAGTAACTCGTGATCCTGCATAGTACACCTCGAAGTGAATCCAGAGTGAGGGAACATTGTCTTCAGGTTTCCTTTCATGTGCTACATAGAGCTGAGAAACATAAGACCCTGGGAACATCAGAATGACCCCCTGCTGCGCTGCTAGCAGGATTAAGAACTTCTAGTACCACCTTCAAATCTAAACAAGAAATCCTACCACATATATTTTGACTAATTTCCAGCATTAATGCAGGGGTACGTCTATAGCAACAGGACTGATGCATTAATTGGTTTCTACATGTAAAAGTAGCAACCATTTACTGTTCAACATAGAGCCAAAAGATAGGGACACTCTCACCTCCACCAGCTTGACAATGTTGACATGGTCCAGTTTTTTGAGAATGGCAATCTCCTGATAGACCCTCTCCAGGGGTCCTAAGATTTTGGGCTGCTCTCCCTGAGCTGCTTTGGGTCCCCTTGGGGGCGGGCGACCTGCAGAACACCACACAAACCAAATACATAACTAAATGATTCACTCAATCAAGATTAGTCTTGGTGAGAGCAATCATACAACATGATGATCTATAGACTTGTGACTGCTTTCGTTTTGTTAGTGCTCCTATGTCTAAATGTAAACAGTTTTTAAACTGTCCAAAAAATTTCTGTACTTTTCATCCTGGATCCCACTCACAAAACACGTCTTGGTTTGTCTTTCCATTGTTCCTATGATCACCATCTCTGGTTTGGTAGAAATTAACCCCTAAATTCATTCAATTGGATGTGAAAATATGCTGCCTATATACACTCTAAAACTACTGTTTATTCAAATGGAGTGGTGAGTTGGCGATGGTGATTTTGAGGCTGTCTCTGGTTAAACAAAGGGGATTATACTCTTTAACAAAAAGCTCTGTCTCTGTAGGGACCCTTTCCATAATGTTGTCAGACACTTAGAATACCAACCTGAGCCTGAGGCAAAAACAAAGCACTTTAAGTGGACAAAAACTGACAGATAAACATGCCCTGAGTGGTTACATTGCAGCCTGTTCCGTGGCCTCCGGTTGCAGCGGTCTTACTCAGTACTAGACCACTTTCAATAACTGTTGTTCCCACTGGTCATTTAGACACAAAAACATGGGAAAATAGGGTCCAGGTTGAAAAACACCACACCTACCCTTTGACTAGAAACCCCTCTGAAAGTTTAAAGTTAACATGATATGTAAACACTCATACAGTGAATTGTGTGTGACTGTTTAGAAGAATAGCACTCACGTGGAAAACCACACTGCTTCATTAACTTCTTCTTGGACACCACCTTCATGGCCTGTAGGAAAACAGAAAATGATTTTGATCACACAGTGTCTTCACATATGGCTAGTGTTAACAATAAAGTGGAACCTCAACCATTCATCAATAAAGATCGATAACTTCTCAAAAGAGAAACTAAACTAGAGCTAAAAGGTGTACAAATAAACATACTGTTAAGACCACCTTTACAGCTTGCATTAAAATGTGTCTTGCATCCAGATTGTATCTAGACATGATTTAACCTGATTATAGATTAACACCTTGTATTAATATGTTTCTCCAGTGTCAACTTTGAGATCTGATAGCTTTGTCCAGGACTAGTTGTAGCTGTTCTCCACCATTAGCTTAGCCAGTACTGTACTTCATAGATGGCTCAGTTGCAAAATAGTTGCCAAGTTTTGCTTGCATACTTTTGTCAGACCAAACTGAAAGCGGACACTTGATTTCATCTTGACTCCATCCACCAGTGTTTCGACAATCAATAAGCTATCTTGCTGTTTTTTGCCAGTAACTAAGTAATTAACTTGCTAACTGGCTAATGGCTGCCACCTTGCTGGTTTGACATGTGATTAAGTATTTCCAACCATGTGGCTGTTGTATGTGGATTGAAAACCTAAATGCATTCACGCTTGTGTTCAATGTGGTCACAATGCGTCTCTCCGCAGGTAGTTTGGCCGATCAGATCACAATCTGTCCTCAGTGTGGTCAAGCACTATCTGATTGCAATCCATTCGCCCACAATACATTTTAATCCAATGTGTAAAGGGGGTCCTAATGTACATGAAATCAAAGAACGAAATACCTCAAAGGTTTAACCTTCTGCTACAACCCTCAGCAGCTTCCTCACATGTGCCTTCATTAAAGGGAGAAACATGCAAGTTTTGAAGTCAATGGGTTTATTATCTGTGTTATTATCCTTTGTTAAAAGGTCACAGGCATCTGAGTCTGAGGCAAGTAAATGTTTCATGGAAAAGAGCATGTATTGGTGTATAAAGGACAACTGCTTGTCTGTGTATATATGTGAGGGAACAAACCCAAAGCCAAGATGACATCTCGTTACAAGGAATCAGTTATGCAAAGGAAGAAGAGAGACAGTCAGTAACATTTCCCTGAATGTCAGACATTTGTCCAAAATAGCAGAGCCATATCAAGCTGTCAGCAGCTCTTTAGCCCCTCTCTAGTGGCTCTGTGTGGCTTGACAAAAAAAAAATTTACATTTTAATTTTCATTTATTGTTGTTGTAGGCCGAGATTTGGCATGTCATCAGCTAAAATGTGCATCACATATCTGTGGCCTGGCGCCTTTTCCTCTAAATTTTGCCAAACCTCAATAGCAGTGGATAGTCTTGCGGTCCCCTTGCTTTGATAACAATGGATTTTAAATCCAAAAAAGTAAAAGTCTCACAGGAAAACAGTAAATTTAATAGTATGTGGACAGATTTCTTTACTTTCACTGCCAACAATGCAAAGTTCAAGTACCAAATAATCACTATTAGCCTTTACAGAGTAGCCACTTTGTGGTAAAACTTGTTAATGAGTGCTCATTAGATGGATCAGTAATATTGACAGGCTAATTAAGACCTAATAGGCTGTGTTACTTCATTATAAGGCTCAAATGTGTTTTGTAACCCAAGTTCTATGAGATCAACCCGTCCTCATTTCTAAATGTAATGGCTGCAGTTTTAAAGAAGTGGTTAATGTTGTGAACTTTGGTTATGTTGGGAAACAAACCTTCTTGGTTAGGTTTAGGAATAAGATAATGGTTTAGGTTATGATAAGTATGTTCGTTACATGCTGTACCTGACGTAAGTTAACCTACGTACACAAGTTAAAATAAGTGAGTGCTGAGTTCTGGTTTCACAAGGGACAGAAACAGCGGGCTCCAGGGTCAAAGTCCTGTGTTTGTTTGACACATCTGTCCACCCCAACCTTCTCCCTGTGCAAGCTTTGTTGCTCTTCATACTGCATCATCTGACTTCATCCTTTCCATCCTTCAGTCATAATTACAACAGCCATTACAGGTCGCTGTCTAACAATAAACGGAACTATGGGTTGCTTTACAAACAACCTATGTGGTAATCTTTTGGGGAAGGACGGTCTCTCAACACTACAAACAGTTCCGGTGATGTACAGCTCAGCAGTTTCCTCTGAAACTGGTCCCCATGGCTATGACTGTGCACAAACCAGGTCTGGCGAGGAAGCAGATCCTCCCCTGTATGTGGAGCACACCAGTTTCCATGGTGTGCTGCTTCTGTGTGTGTGTTTGAATATCTGTGTGTGTTAGATGGTGGGAGGGTGGTTTCTGACTCAGCCACAGAGTCATTAAACAGTTAAAAATTGTCCAGCAATATTCAGAATTATTGCAGCTTTTTTCGGTTGTAAAGTTGCCATACAGATTGCATTATTCATACCAGGGTTCATTACAGAATCTGGGATTTATGGTGGAGCTCCATAAATAGCTGCCATCTCAAAAGCTAAATTCTGCCTGTGTAGGCAGGTGTAGGTGCGTCATCGCAGTTTTACTCACAGTAAATGTGTTTTACCAAACATGAAATTGGGAATGACTATATCTTGCTTTTCAACAAAGTATAGCAATAAATGTGAAAAACACAATCTAAAAGGTAACGTGAGTTCAGTTTACAACCCTCTGACCATATGTGCCGAGGAGGAACTGGTGAGTGGTTCATGGTGTTGATCAAAGGGAGCCACAATCACGACAGCAGGAACTTTATTTTGTAGAAGCTGGAACATAAAAAGGTTTAAGGATGATGTCAGTCACCATATTGTTCTTTCACTGTGCCATTGTGCCTTTTCTGAATTCTCCAGCACTGTAATCTGTAGACAAAAAAGTCTCGTCAAGCAAACAAGACTTCTGCTGCACTGCACCTTAAGTTTGCTTATTTATTTATTTTGCCCCAAAGAAATAAAGACTGAGGGAACTAATTTTTACTGGGTGTTGACATCATGGCTGGATTAACCTCCTCAGAGGCTCAATAGTAAAAGGAAGTTTATGCCACTCAGGCTACATCCACATGAACACATTTTCATGTTATAAAAGCATTTCAAAATGAAAACAATCTCAGGCATGTGCGCACCAGTAAACAGGAGGCAGACTGCCCACTCTGTGGTTGGTTGCATAGTTGCAGAAAATACTACAGAGGAAGAACAGCAATGGTGAAAAATATGACCAGAGATTTCTTTGCTTGTACCAATGACAAGGTGGAACTGTTACTGACAAGGTTTTTCCTGCACAGAGAATTAGGAAGCAGCCGCCTCCATCAAAGTTCCTCCGGCCTCCTGCTCTCAACAAAACTCTGATGGGTGCCATGTCGGAAATCACTATTTTCTAACGGGCGTGCACTTGATGGATTTCTGTCATATGTAACAGCAACTGCAGCATTATGCTGCTATGGTGGTGCTAAATCGTAGTCAGTACAGTGCACCGGGAAAGGCGTTGGGTAAACTGCCGAGGAGGAAGAAAAGAGCCATCTGTTTCAGACCGCAGCAAAGTTGGGACCAGTCGGACACAGCGTTTGTATATGCTGCTCAATGCACCCTCATATGCATGTCTGACTGCCGTCTTATACTGAGACTACGTTTACACCAGTGGAATGAAAGGAACTAAAGTCGTTTTTTTAATGAACTTACACAATGACATCTGGAAAACATGATGTAAGTTCAATACCTCAGGCTACTGTTCAAGACCAACAAACAACAAAACCAGTTGAGTCATTGTTGTTTCCAGCTGCTTTTATAGGCACCAAACGTGGGTGTTTTTTAGTGACCCGTCACTGGTTTTCCAGTGGGAAAAGCAATTATTTTTACCTAGACATTGCTACATTCATTGCTGTGATTGTGTCCCCCAAAACAGTATTTCAATTAAAAACATGATCTTTTCCTAACCATTGCCAAATAGTTTTTATGCCTAAACCCATAATCACATTAACAACGGTGTTTTTGAACTTAAGTGTTTCAATATATCCGTGGTTTGCAGAAATGTGCAATGACAACATTTATTCTGCCGACTGGGTTGGGTAATTAAAGTAAAGAAAGCTCACCGGTGCGAGAACTGGGGGCTTCGTCACTAACCATGACAACTACTATAAAGCATAGGGAGGTAATGGCTATTGCTAAAAGATGCTGACATAAACAGTATCACAATCAGAAGCAGATTTTATTTCATTTATACAGCACTTCAAAAAGAAAACAGGTTTTGCACCAAAATGCTTGACAAAGACAGACCTGTATGTCTACACATAGAAGCACAGAGACATATAAGTGCATGGATGAATAAAGCAAGATTAAAATAGAAATTAGTAGAAATCAGTGTTTCCTACAGAAATTAATTTAATGTGTGGAGGTGCACAAAATCTGCACATTTTCTTTTGTGTGTGTGTGTGTGTGTGTGTGTGTGTGTGTGTGTGTGTCTGTGTCCCTTCTCTGAACTCAAAGGTTTTTGTGGGTCTTTGAATGCAGCACAGGCACTCTTCTGGAGAAGCAGCGGATGGCTGCTGGTTAGATCCAGCACTGAACCCTGGGAATGCGCAGTTTTCATGTGAACGCAGCTGGTTTCATCTAAAGTAAGATGGAAAACGACAGACAACACTAAAACTATATGAACTAACAGACGGTTAAGTTTCACTTTAACTGCACTTGGCACTCTGCTGCTCCATCTGTCTGTGCTCTGCCCAGAGGGAGAGAGGAGAGAAACGCAGCTTCAAATAGATTTAAATGTGGCGGCTCAAGGCAGATATTGTGGCGGTGCACCCCAAATAAATGAATGTGTGGGAAATCTTGAAGTAAAATTGGTTAAACACAATTAAAAGCCAGATATTTAAAGTGATTCAGTTTATAATGGGCTTCAGTGGTTCGTATTATCACCTTGGAAAATGAATGCAAATTTACTGACGTTTTACTCTACAAAGTAAAACAGGAAAATTGTATGCACACAGACATGATAACATATTGACGTTTTTTATATATTCTAGATATGGTGTCTTTTATTTTATCTTATTTT